TCAAGCCAAATGATCAATCTTATGGCCACATTCATGGCATAGTTTGTTCAAATGATCTCATATTATGCACAAGGGTGCATATTGGAATGGAAAACAATGTTGCCTAAGGAAGTTTTCTTTTTCTTTGGACGAAAGAACCATTTTCCATTTTTCGAGTGCCCAAAAGGAGGTTTTTTTTGTGAAGGACCTCCCAAATAATTGTTGCAAAATTGGACCAAATCATTTTTATAAAATACTAGGCCATATTTAATGCACAGTTGACCAAATGGTTGGGTGTAAAAAGTTTTTATCCACCTCTGGTGAAAAATACAAATTCCCACCGATTTAGTTGGAAGCGGGTCAAATTTGTACTGTAGTTGCCTCGTAGTTTGCTCTTTATTTTTTCCAAAAATTATTTATAAGTACATAAGTATCTATTTAATCAGAGAAACACCAAAAAAATTCCAAGATTCAACCACTAGCTAGGAACGGTCATTCCCGCCGTTTCGACCGCATTTTGAAACGGGCATAAAAAATTCAAAAAAAATCAAAAAATTGGAAAACCTTCGCATTGTGTCATTATATGTGGGCAAGTTCCCAGGAAAAATAATAAACTTGTAATATGGCAATTATTTTAAAAAAGTGTTCTTAGAAACGAGCTATCACTTGTGGAGATCAATGGCTTTCAAGCCAAATGATCAATCTTATGGCCACATTCATGGCTTAGTTTGTTCAAATGATCTCATATTGTGCACAAGGGTGCATATTGGAATGGCAAACAATGTTTTCTAAGGAAGTTTTCTTTTTCTTTGGACGAAAAAACTATTTTCCATTTTTCGAGTGCCCAAAAGGAGGTTTTTTTTGTGAAGGACCTCCCAAATATTTTTTGCAAAATCGGACCAAATCATTTTTCTAAAATACGAGACCATATTTAATGCACAATTGACCAAATGGTTGGGTGTAAAAAGTTTTTATCCACCTTTGGTGAAAAATACAAATTCCTGCCGATTCAGTTGGAAGCGGGTCAAATTTGAATTGTAGCTGCCTCGTAGTTTGCTCTTTATTTTTTCCAAAAATCATTTATAGGTACATAAGTATATATTTAATCAGAGAAACACCAAAAAACTTTCAAGATTCAACCACTAGCTAGGAACGGTCATTCCCGCCGTTTTGACCGCATTTTGAAACGGGCATAAAAAATTCAAAAAAATCAAAAAATTGGAAAACCTTCGCATTGTGTCATTATATATGACCAAGTTTCCGGGAAAAATAATAAACTTGTAATACGATAATTATTTTAAAAAAGTGTTCTCACAAATGAGCTATCATGTGTGAAGATTCATGGCTTTCAAGCCAAATGATCAATCTTACGGCCACATTCTTGGCATAGTTTGTTCAAATGATCTCATATTGTGCACAAGGGTGCATATTAGAATGGCAAACAATGTTGCCTAAGGAAGTTTTCATTTTCGTTGGACGAAAAAACCATTTTCCATTTTTCGAGTGCCCGAAAGGAGGTTTTTTTGTGAAGGAACTACCAAATAATTGTTGCGAAATTAGACCAAATCATTTTTATAAAATACTAGGCCATATTTAATGCACAATTGACAAAATGGTTGGGTGTAAAAAAATTTGATCCACCTCTCGTGAAAAAGACAAATTTCCGCCGATTCAGTTGGAAGTGGGTCAAATTTGAACTGCAGCTGCCTCATAGTTTGCTATTTATTTTTTCCAAAAATCATTTCTAGTTACATAAGGACCTATTTAATCATAAATACATGGTTTGTTATCGATACGTCGAGGTTTGGGCGGTGGCCGAGGGCCCCAACTCTAGAGCGCGTAAACTCGCATGCCCGTCGCGTGGTCACCGGGTGACCGTAATGTTGCCATGTGTTCTGGGCGGCCTAGGAATGTCTAATGGGTTGGGCACTCCCCAGGTTGGTGCTAGAAAGAAAATTACAACATAAGATTCTCACGAGGAGACCGGTCGATGCTCAAACATGAATTAGCAGCCAAGTGTTTGATTAGCTGTACGGGAAATGCACATGGCCAATGGGCGTGAGTTTTGGCTGAGGATGATCATCTACTAAGGAGAATGTCTTAACAAATTTTTAGCTCAAAAGGAGGATCCTAGGTGGTACTTGCTTTGCAAAGTACCACGTTGGACAAAAATATGAATGTTGAAGCTGGGCTCAAAATAATGAATGGATTGATCTGAAATTTTGTGGAGGATGGTTATTTGGGCATAGGAAAGCATTGTAGAAAATTGATACCATTTGGACATGCCAAAGTAGTACTTCCTTCACAATGCTCTTCCATGGACAGAAACTTGGGAAAACTAGTGAGAGAGATTGGATGAATGAAATGAGATCAAAATTGGTGTAGGTAAGTTACATAGGGTCATGCGCTGGTAAATTTTCAGATCATTTGGGTAAGCCTAGATAGTACTTACTTCACAAAGCTTCTCTCGAGGTAGAAACTTTGGAAATTTCACGAGAAATATTTACTAGGAAAATTGAGCTGAATATTATCATGTGGCAATAATTTGGGTATGGAAGAGTACCCGAAAAGTCTGAGGGTAATAGGAGGGGTCTATATAACACTTGCTTTGCAACGTGCCAATTTGGCCATAAAATATAAATTGAACCTGGGCTCACATAGATGATTTGACTGAGTTGCAATTTGTAGGAGGGTGATAATTTGGGCATATGAAGAAACTATATAAATTTAATGTCATTTAGAGATATAAAAAAGGTACTTCCTTCACAATGCTTTTAGGTGGACAAAAACTTTGGAAATTTGTCGAGGAAGATTTGCTAGGCAAATGGAGCTGAATTTTGTCATGCGGTAATGATTTGGATAGGAAAGAGTGCCCAAAAATTTCTAGGGCAATCAAGAATATATAAATAGCACTTCCTTCATAAAGTGTTGTTGTGAACATAATAGAAAAATGAATATTGTTGAATTAGTTTTGAACTAGACAAGGAAGGATTTTTACATATTTGATGAAGATATGACCCAAAGAATTTATGAGATTTTTTTGGGAATTTTGGGAATGATAGAAATATAGGTTGCTTCACAACGTAGGGCAAAAACTGCCACATGGACATGACACATAGGCAAAACTGATGAGATGGCGCCTAGTCATCACAACCCACCACAATCTACAAGGCTATGATCATCTATATTGGTCATGATCAGCTAGAAATAAGGCAGCGGACTAGCACTGTTTGCTTTGTGACCATTTTGTGTAAGGATATTACGACCTTTCTGACCAAAATGGTCGCAATGGTTTAGGGTTTGGAGCCCCCTGAACAACTTTTGACCAATTGGTCTAAAATGGTCATAGATTTATGATCAATTTTTCGAGGGTCACTGACAGAAGGTCATAAGTTGACATATTTCTTGTAGTGATAAAAGATGTCTGTGAAGGCCGAACCACATGTTCATCAACCGAATTTAGCCTAATAGTCGCAACCTTCATGAATATTTTAAAACTAACATTAAGGAGGCAAATAGGTCTATATTGTTATATCCATTCAGCCTCATTAACCTTAGATAATAAAATAATAAAATAACTTCATCCATGATAGCCACAAAAGTGTCCCCTTGCACTGCGTCTCCCACCGGCCCGTGCTGCCTTGCAGCTTGCCGCTATCGCCCCAAACCAAGACATCAGACCATTTGTCTCTCACAACCACGTCCTTAGTCTTGTCGATCATGATAGGTTGAACAAGAATGAGAGGCAGTGAGCTCAGTACCAATGTTGACATTTTGTTTAGCATTTTAGAGATGGAGCCCCTATTCACCGCATTAAATCGTCCTGACGGTGCGTCTAGCATCATCGGAGGGTGTGTGAAGGTGTGTCTCTAGTGGATCTCACGGATTCGGTCGATGGTTGTCTTTTGTTGATCTGCTCGGATCCGGTCTTTATTCGTCTTTGTTTATGTGTTTTCAGGTTGGATCCTTTCGATCTAAACTTCACTTCATCGGTGGCAATTACTGTTCTGGTGTGTTGGTACTATGGAGCGTTAGCACGACAATTTCTCGACTGCCTACTAGAACAAGTTGTGTCCGGCTCCAGCGAGGGAGGAACGATTATGGTGGCGCTCCTTCGGCTCGTTTCAGTGTTTATAGTTGTCGGTAGATGGTCTACAAATCTTAATGTAATTTGTATTACTTATGGTGTTGGATGTACTATCATGATTGAAAACGAATAGATCAAAAGTTTACACCCAAAAAAAGAGATTGATAGCGTAACTCCTAAAAATAAGATCTGAATAGAGCACGTTTTTCTCAACAACAAAATATATAAAAACCTTTTTCTCAACAACAGGAAAGTCAATAATAATCTCGACGCATGTTTCATTGCGCGTTATTAACAAAAAAAATCAACAACGTTTTTCTCCTTGGCGATCATGATGCACGGACAAGCTGGCACTCTCCTCCCGCCTCCTGGGAGTGAGTAGAACTAGCTCGTACTCCAAAACGTGAAACGTACCAGCCCAGCAGTCTCAAGCAACCAATGGCGTGACCTCGCACCTTAAAAAAAAATGTGATTCCGCAGGAATTTCTCTCGCAGTAATAATAAATAAATCCATCGAAAGCAGGTTAAGGACCCACCTCTTGACGCTTGGAACGTCTGTGGTCATTTTTTCTCTCTTCTTTTTTGACCGGACGACAGGTTAATTTCGTGTGCAGATTGTGTGACACTGACCCATACGCGCCCGGCGGTTTTCTCTGCGCAGGCAACGTCGCAGTAGTGTAAACCGCAGCAACCGATCCGGTCGGCCCCGCTGGCCCGATTCTCCAACGCGCCACACGGGCCAAGCACGAAACGTACCACGGATTAAGTGCCCGGAAGAAACGCAGCGCACTTACGCAGGCGATCGATCTTGGGTGTAACGCATCGCCACGCCATCGATCGGCTCCGTCCGACGAGCGCCTTCTATAAATGCTGCACCCTCGCCTTCGTTTCTCTTCACCCCACACCGTTCTTGACCAGTCCAGTGAAGCCAGCCATGGCTTGCAAGATCGCCAGCATGTCCTCCTCTCTTGCGGCGCTCCTCCTCGGCGTGCTGCTGCTCTCGCGCGGCGGCATCAGCAACGCGGCGCGGCACCTGGAGGAGCCGGAGGTGCCTCCGGATCTCCCGGCACCTCTGCCCAGGCCGGACTTGCTGCCGCCGCTGCCCATACCCGACGCGCTGCCAAAGCCGGAGCTGCCGCCGCTGCCCATACCCGGCGGGCTGCCCAGGCCGGAGCTGCCGCCGTTGCCCATACCGGACGTGTTGCCAAAGCTGCCGTTGCCGGAGCTGCAGCCGTTGCCTACACCTGACGTGCTGCCGATGCCGGAGCTGCCACCGCTGCCCAAACCTGACGTGGAACCAATGCCAGAGCTGCCACCAGTGCCCAAGGGTGAGGAGCGACCGAAGACGGAGCTGCCTCCGCTGCCAACAGGTGAGATCGCACCACAACCGGCTCTGCCGCCTCTTCCTACAGGTGACCTTGCGCCCAAAGCAGAGCTACCCAAGATAGACGAGCCGACGAAGACGGAGCTGCCTCCACTCCCGACCGGTTATCTTCCGCCGAAGCCAGAGGTCGAGCTGCCACCCAAGACAGAGGAGCCACCGAAGCCGGAGCTGCCTCCACTCCCGACCGGTGAGCTTGCACCGAAGCCAGAGCTGCCGCCACTCCCTACCAGTGAGCTTGCACCGAAGCCGGCGCAGCCGCCACTGCCCAAGCCCGCGGAGCCAAAACCATGATCACTCAACCACGAAGGATTCCATGCATGGTGCATGATATATTTTGAGTCCTCTGTCCATGACGAGCTAGCGTGGCCTGCCTGTCATCCATGACTTATGAGTCCTCTGTCCATGAGTACGTACCTGTCGAGTTATTGAGAGTATTTGAGATCGTACTAGCACACATATCCGTGCGTTGCAACGGGAGAGTACGCATTTAAAATCAGTGAGAATTATATGTGCAAGCAAAACCCTGTGTGCACACGAAAAAGGAATATTTAGCTTCTCGGTTTCGCCTCGTGTGAAGGATTCGTGCAGCTATTTTTCCATTAATTGATCAAGGACATTTAAGAGTTTTGTTACGTCATCGTACGTCAGGGAAGGCCCATCGGTTATTCAATCTACCCTTTCAATCCTTTCAATCGAGGGGATTTTAAGGTTCGAAGTTTCTGAATATTCTAGGAAACATGAACAATTTTTTAAATATTAAATAGTTTTTGAAAATTATGTACACTATCAAAAAAATGCGAACAAAATATGAAAGGGAGCATCTTTTAAAATTCACAAACATTTTCTGAAAACAATGACTTTTTATTAAAAACATGAAGATTATTTGAATTTGTAAACATTTTTGAAGACGGGAACATGTGTTGAAAATTCATAAGATTTCTAGAAAATGTGTATCTTTTATAATCGAATATTATTTTAAATTTTGAAATTTTTGCTACAACATAAATATTTTTCTAATTTGGAGCATTTTTTGAAATGCCATTTTCTTTTTAGAAATCTTGAACTATTTTTTAAAAAAAATATTTTTTTAAAAAAATGGGCAAATTTTTGCATGTTTCGAATATTTTTCAAAATAGCAACAAATTTTGGAATTCCGAACATTTTCCAAAATTTGTTTTTTTAATTCTGAATATTTTTTGAGAATTTCTAATTTAAGAAATAAATTCTAAACGAAATATGTATATGGTAACCCTGTGGCAGATTGCAAAACGATCTAACCCATCCAGCACCGTCAGATCCCATCGCTCGCACTCGCCCCGCCCTCCTGATCTCCCTCAAAACACGTCCACCATCAATCCCCTTCTTCGAATTCCCACTGCCACCTCCATGTTTCTCAGGCGCCTACATCGATGAAGCTCCAATCGATGTTATGCTGCTGACCACCCCCACATCACCGTGGTGCCGTTGTCTGGGGGAGACGCCTATAAGGAGAGGGGGGACGCGGGAACGACGCCGCCGACAGAGATGAGCTCTGGCAGCGAGGTGCGGTGGTCCAAGGGTGGCAGGGGAGGCCGTTCCCAGGGACGACGAGAAACGATCGGGTTCATGGTCGTCCATGGGCCATGGCTGTTCCGGGCGGCGACCGAGCATGCGCCACGAGCTCCCGCCATCGCTGCCGATAGGAATAGGTTGGAAGTGTGGTGGACATGGCTGGACCTTCTTGGCGTCGGGGAGCACGAACAGGAGCGCTTCCGCGGCGGACACGCGTGCCGATCCAATTCTGAAACAGGAGCGCTTCACCGGCGGATGGGCGTTGGCCCCAGGCACCGAAGCCGCAGAAGCAGCACTACTCGCTGGCCATCGGCATCCGCAGCGGCATGTCGCTCCTATACCCAAAGCAGCCGCATGACTCGGCCGACGAGAGCCTTCATGGCCTCCACGGACTCACGCCCCCGAGCCACCAGGTCTTGCACACAACGTCGTCACTCCGCTGTTGCTACTGAATTCGTCTGTGATTCTGGTGTGTTCTCCTTGGTTCAGTTTACCTTACTGAATTAGTTCAATGGCTGGTTCCAGCAGCGCCTGCTAACCACTTGTGATGAATCCCTCAAGGTGGTGATAATGATTGAATGAACAATTCGATTTTTCGCAAGCCGGTTGATTAAGATGAAGACATGGTTAGTATACAAGTAGTACTTACTACGTACTTTGTAGGCAAACTTTGCTGGAAAAAATGGAGCAAAAATATTTGCATGTTTTTGTGCAAATTCCCTATCCTTGCTTCAGTTTAATTGTTAACGTCACCTAGGATAAAAGAAGCAAGTGGTTCAATATGCTGACGAGAAACAAGTTATACACAGCAAGGTGGACGAGCAATAACCAAAAGAAACTGATCAAGGCAGATTTTGGGCTTCCTTTTGCCCCTTCTGTTGGGGTCAGGATCAGGTATTACCATGATCACATGAGTTGGTCACTGGGTTTTCAGGATTCTCACATTTTTGTGTCAGTGATTAGCATTTGGAATTTCCTTGGACGTATTTTTGGGCCTCCTTTTCAGAGACTATTTTTAAGTATGAATTATGAAGCACCTCTTTTGTTGACCTGTGCATCTCATCTGTGAGCAGTATTTTGCTTAGTTCATATGAAAGAGTAAGTTCTCCAATAGAGAATGTCTCCTGCAACACTAATTAATGTTCAGCTTCTTCTAAAAATACATTTATCTAGAACTATTAGAAAACATTTACCCATTTGAAGCGAAGGATCTGATCAACGGTAACAGGGAACTTGTATTCATAAAAATTAATCAGGAGGGAGCAGAATAGAGTAGCAGGTCTTTTTAGCAAAATTAGTATGGTAATTTTTGTATAAATCACTCGATCAAACAATGTGGTAACTAATGAACCGGGGGAAATTAGTTCTTGAAAACATGCCTCTGTGACTTCTTTGAAATAGCATAAGAATAAACATGCCATAACCTGATAAATTACATACAAACACCATGGTAATTTGACCCAAGAAAAAAATATTGAAAAATATACCCTGACAACTCATGTGTAAAATAACATGGTAATATACACACAATAGAGCTGATAACTCATGTACAAATAACACGATAACTTTTGACTCGGGTAAAAAATGTTGAAACAGCATACCCTCCCCCGACAACTTATGTGCAAATAGCATGGAATATACTCACTGCAGACATGATAATTTACACATAAATAACACGGTAACTTTGACCAAACGAAAAAGAAGTTGTTAAAAACATACCTCGATAACTTATCTGAAAATAGCACGGTAACATACTAACTGCATACCCAATAACTTACGTACAAACACCGCGGTAATTTTAATCGAAGGGAAAAATGTTGTTGAAAAACATACACCCCCAGTAACTTATGTGATAAATAGCACCCCATGCCCGATGACTTACATACAAGCACCACTGTAACTTTGACCAAAGGAAAACAAAGTTGTTGAAAAATATTCCCACAATAATTTATGTGAAAATAGCACAGTAATATACGTACCCGATAATTTACGTACAAACACTGCAGTAACTTTGAGCAAAGGGAAAAGGTTGTTGAAAAACCATACCCTGATACTTCTGTACGAACCCGATAATTTACGTAAAAGCACTGCGTAACATTGACCAAAGGGAAAAAGTTGTTAAAAGCCATACCCCGGTACTTATGTGAAAATGACGTGGTAATATATGAACCTCTTAGTGGATAATTTATGTACAAACATCGCGTTAACTTTGTTCAAAGGGGAAAATGTTATTGAAAATCGTACCCCGGTAAATTATGTGAAAATAGCACGATAATATACGAACCACATATATGATAATTTACGTAGAAACACCGCGGTAAATTTAACCAAGGGGGGAAAGTTAGTGAAAAGATACCCCCAGTAACTTCTATGTAAATAGTATGATAATATACAAACTTCATACCTGATAACTTAAGAC